AAGATCATTTACCAAGCTAGGTATGATTAGGATCATGGCTTATCCTCCTGAGAAGGGACAAAACCAACTTTTCCAATAAATCATCTAAATTTACCCAGTGGCTTTCCACATGATGAAAAGTGTTTATCTCCTGCTTTCAGTTTTTGTTGGCATACCACCACCTACTCTATGGCTGGCTTGCAGATTGTCATAGTGAATGATGACCTCCAAATACCACCCTCTCTTGGGCCTATTAATCATGAGTACTGTCCAGTAGAGAAACTACATTTTCAAATGCTTCCTTAAGGTTTTCAGTATTTGTTGATGGTATGCAATCTAAAGAATATCTAAAACCATTACCCTCTCCCTGCTGGGACCAAAAAGCTCTCTACTTTCCATGAATTGCCAAGAAACACTATTAGCATTTGGCAGAAGGGGTAAAAAACCACTATATCACCATGATTCTGTTTGTTATTTTTCAAAGTCCAATAGACTTTATTAGCAGAAGTATCCCATTCTGCCTTTCATCACCTGGACTGTTACTTACCCACAAATAACTTCTTCTTATGTTTGGAAATCATTTGTATCTTATGATTATGACCCTCTTTCTCAGTATGAAAAAAATCCAACGTGTTGTGGTGAGGCTTTCCAATTTTATTAGGAAGAGTGTCTTAGAGTTCTATTTGTAAGAACCATGAATTCCACATGAACAAAGTAAATGAAATATAATTTGTTTGTTTCAATGACTCAAGGTTACCATCATAAGCATGAATCACTGTACTATGCTGTGCTACTCTCAGGTGTAATTAAACTGTGTAGGTGAATTAGCCCCTGAGTTAACTGATTCCAGATTACTATTCTTTTTTTTTAATTTTTATTTTTTTCGGATGTACATCATATTTCAAATTCTGTAAACATTACATCATGTTCACCACCTGAACACTAATTATAGTGCATCCCCTCACATGTGACCCTAATCACCCCTTTTGCCCTCCCCCCTCCCCCCTTCCCCAATGGTAACCACCAGTTCAATCTCCAATGCTATGTGGTTTTTTTGTCATTTTTATCTTCTACTTATGAGTGAGATCATATGGTACTTGACTTTCTCCCTCTGACATACTTCACTCAGCATAATACCGTCAAGGTCCATCCATGTTGTCACAAATGGCCGGATTTCGTCATTTCTTATGGCTGAGTAGTAGTCCACCGTATATAAATATCACATCTTCTTTATCCATTCGTCCCTTGATGGGCATCTAGGTTGCTTCCAAGTCTTGGCTATTGTGTATAATGCCACAATGAACACAGGGGTGCAAGTATCTTTATGTGTTTGTGTTTTCAAGTTCTTTGGATAAATACCCAGCAATGGAATAGCTGGATCATATGGTAGATCTATCCTTAATTTTCTGAGGATACTCCAAACTGCTTTCCATAGTGGCGGCACCAGTTTACACTCCCACCAGCAGTTAACAAGCGTTTCCTTCTCTCCACACCCTCTCCAACATTTGTTGTTTCCTGTCTTGTTAATTATAGCCATTCTGACCGGAGTGAGGTGATACCTCATTGTAGTTTTGATTTGCATTTCCCCGATAGCTAATGATGTTGAGCATCTTTTCATATGCCTGTTGGCCATCTGTATATCTTCTTGGAGAAATCTCTGTTCAGATCTTTTCCCCATTTTCTAATCGGATTGTTGGTTTTTTTGTTGTTGAGCTGCATGAGTTCTTTGTATATTTTGGATATTAACCCCTTATCTGATATGTGGTTTGCAAATATCTTCTCCCAATTGTTAGGTTGTCTTTTCGTTTTGTTGATGGTTTCCTTTGCTGGGCAGAAACTTTTTAGTTTGATGTAGTCCCACTTGTTCATTTTTTCTTTTGTTTCCCTTGCCCGGTCAGACATTGGACTTGAAAATATGCTGCTCAGACCAATGTCATAGAGCATACTGCCTATGTTTTCTTCTAGAAGTCTTATGGTTTTGGGTCTTACATTCAAGTCTTTAATCCATTTTGAGTTAATTTTTGTGCACGGTGTAAGGGAATCGTCTACTTTCATTCTTTTGCATGTGGCTGTCCTGTTTTCCCAACACCATTTATTGAAGAGACTCTCCTTTCTCCATTGTATGCTCTTGGCTCCCTTGTCGAATATTAGCTGTCCATAAACATGTGGGTTTACTTCTGGGCTCTCAATTTTGTTCCATTGATCTGTGTGTCTGTTTTTGTGCCAGTACCATGCTGTTTTGGTTACTATGGCTTTGTAGTATAATTTGAAATCGGGGAGTGTGATACCTCCAGCTTTGTTCTTTTCTCTCAGGAATCCTTTGGCTATTTGGGGTCTTTTGTTGTTCCATATAAATTTTAGGATTCTTTGTTCTATTTCTGTAAAAAATGTTGTTGGAACTTTGATAGGGATTGCGTTGAATCTATAGATTGCTTTAGGAAGTATGGACATTTTAACAGATTACTATTCTTAATTCTCCCCACTTTTATCTCTTCCTCACTGTAAGCTATCCCTTCTTGTTGCTATCAGCATGTCTGTTTCTAGACGAAATGGCTGCTGCTTTCTTCAAATGGATTAACTAGTTATTTTATTCTGTTCCAATGGATTAACTAGTTATCTTATTAACTGATCGAGCTAAAAATTAATGGATAAAACTATGGATCTGCCAGCATTAAATGAACCTAAACTCCTCTCCAAGCTATGTTTTCAACCTGTATCACCTCTCAAAATAACAAGTTCCATATGCTTATCACCCCTTTTTTTTCCCTAAATTTACTCGAAATTTTGGTATGCAGGAATATAGGCAGCCCAATGAAGGATTCTAGAATTTGGTAAAAAAAAAATCCACAGTCACCTAATCCATGTCCTTACAGACTTCACTGAAACCTCTTTTATTTCTGTCTGTCTGAAAAATGAGGTCCAATCTTTTTAGACTATCCTTGTATGATGTCTTATATGATATGATCCTTATCTTTTGCTATTGGTACTTTTTGTTACCCTTCTTCCTTTCCCACACCTTTCTTTTTCAGGATCATTATGTTATTCCTCATGCAGTGATAAGGCATTTGGGCAATGCCTCTCTGTATTGCACACTGCAAAGAATATCAGTGTCATTTACTTGTAACTTAATAGATACCATCTTGTATTCTTCTTGGTCTTTGTATCATCAATAGCAGTCAATATTGAATATTTAGTAGGCAAGGTACACAGAGAAGAATAAGCATCTGTTTTTCAGGACACTACTAATTACAAATAGTCTACCCAAATTTTCAGATGATGTCCTCCAATTTTTGGTTTGGAAAATATGGTCACCATAAGTACAAGGCATACATGAAAAATATCACACAATAAATAATTAGATTGGTGCAATCCAGTGCTAGAAACACAATGAATTTAAATAAGTGCTAGAGGAGTTCAAAGAAAAGACAGACCAAAGTGGCCTGAAGCAACTAGAGGGGCTTCACAGAGGAGATAGGACTGAGTGGGGCCTCTGAGAGGTGAGTCATATCTGGATACAGTGGGGAAGGAAATGGGGGTGAGAGTCATCATCTGAACAGATTAAAGGACTCATTTATATGACTGTGACTCTCAAATCCTTCTTAGCAGCATCTTATCATACCAACCAATTCCTTGGCACGTATATTAGATTCTGAGGTCAGTTGCAGTTGTCAGAAGGCCCTGCCCAGCCACTCAGAGGTTTCCTTGTTGGTCCCACATCCCATCTTGCCAGCTCATTTTCTAGCCTCATCTTACTGGGCTCCAAGTTCCATTGGTCAATCAGAAGTTGACCAAATCAGTTTAGTTGTCTAGATGGACTAGAAATGTTCTGGCCTGAGTGGGTAAAGAATTCTAATCAGCGATTTGCTGTGACCTTAGCACTCAAAGGCTAGACTGATTTAACTTTTTCTTCTTCATCTCCAAATTGGTTTGAGGTGGTTATGCAGAAATAACCTATAAAAGACAATGATCACATAAACCAATAAGTAGATCACTTCAAAATAGTAAATGAAAACCAGATAAATTTGGGCAGAAACCAAATATGTAGAAATAAACAATTATACCGTGTTTAGACCCTGGGTCATTAGTGGGGAAGTGAGCAAGGACAGACAAGAAAGTTTCATGTTTAGACAGATTGAGGTTGATAAAAGTTATTAGGTTTATTTATTTATTTATTGCTGAGAAAGATTCAGCCCGAGCTAACATCTGCTGTCAATCTTCCTCTTTTTGTCTGTGAGCCACTGCCACAGCCTAGCCACTGACAGATGAGTGGTGTAGGTCTGCACCTGGGAACCGAACCCGGGCCACCAAAGCAGAATGCACCAAACTTAACCACTAGGCTACTGAGGCTGGCCCTAGGTTTCTTTTGAGTGGCCTAGGAAAGCTTGGAGGAGTTAGGATACCAAAAACTACTTGGAGAGAGCCTTGTGAGCTGGGGGAAAAGCAAGGGATCTTGGGCTAAAGCTTGCAAATGTGAATAAGAAAATTTGGATGGGGCCTTAGAGTATGCGACAAACAACATCCCCTTTATTCTTATTTATTGGTTTCTTTTTTTTTTTTTTCAGGTGAAGAAGATTGTCCCTGAGCTAACATCTGTGCCAATCTCCCTTGATTTTTTGTATGTGGGACGCTGCCACAGCATGGCCCAGTGAGTGGTGCATAGGTCCATGCCTGAGATCTGAACCCTCAAACCCTTGGCCACCAAAGCAGAGCACACAAACTTAACCACTACACCACCAGGCCATCCCCATTTATTGGTTTCTTTTATCTCTAGCGCCTCTTAAAATGAGCATGTCCAAAGCCCTGGATCACCAAACAGCTGGTAAAAATCCAGTAAAAAGTGAGAGCTATGAAAATAAGGCAATGCTATTATTACTAGAATTATGATTATTATCTACACATACAAACAGATAAATAAGTAGAATTGTTAAAATAAATGTTACAATCCAGGGATGGCATAGGAATGGCCACTTAGTATCTTGAAGGGTTCCTACATATTTCAGGCATCTTGCTAGTTGCATATATGTTACAGGCATTGTGAACAATTTCTAGGAATGACTTACAAACATTATACACATTGCCTAGGAATTGTTTACAACTCCTGATTTAACATTCTGCCTGTAACATAAATACCAGTTAAAATACAAAGAACTTGATCATACACTGGCATCAAATCAGAAGGCAGCATTTCTGCGGGCCTGTCATATAACCAGAAGATTGATTTGCATATTACAAATGTAACATAGCATAGGTAATGGCCAAATAACTATACTGTACTTTTTAAGACCCATATGCAGAAGACTATGTATGAATTGACTGAAAGAACCTAAGTACAAGAAAAATTTGATTCATTGCTTTTAAAAGTAAGCTAATTTTATAACCACTAAGTTGTATAACTCTAAGTCCAAGCATATAGTGGATACATATAAAAAAAGCCTAACTGATTTTTTAATTCAAGTTTTCTTTTTTTACTTCACTGTTTTTTAAATACATTAACTGCTAACTTAATGTTTATTTTAAGAACATACCAGAACTTGTACATCCAAATGCATGCTGTACTTTTCAAAGTAGTGCCCTTGGGAATATACATACTTATTCTGATTATGCTGCTTTTGCTCAGAATATTTTTGAAATGTTGCTTTTGGAACTGCCTTCAGAGCCAGTTTATGAACTATACAATTAAAAGTCATTACTTTCTTAGATTTCAAAAGATAATGTATATGATATACATCAGCTATACAACATATTAGCTATATAAATTATATAAACCAGATTAATCTGATAAATCAAAACACAGTCATATTATTCTTATGGCCCTTTCCCAAACCACCCCCTGAGCCTTTTCTCAGGCTAGATCCAAGACCATCTCCTCCCCCTCTACCCAACCCTCCCTCCCAGAAGATACATCCAATTGAAAAGTATTGATCATCATTTGTTTCAAAAAGCTAGAATTAACTTACCCTAATAAAGTTTCTTAGTATACTACATTTGGCCAGACTACATACTACATTTGGCTAGAATGTAAGCTTCCTCATAGCAGGGGCTTTATCTGGTTCACTGCTGTATCCCCAGTGCCTAGAACAGTGTCTAGCTTATTGTAGTTGCTCACTTAACAAATATTTGTTGAATGAATGAATGGATGGATGAATTAATTAAATTCCTTTAAGACTCATTATGGATCAACAAATATAGATGGACAAATGTGAAATACCAAGGTGATGGCTATATTGCAAATAAAACCATGCTTCCACCTGAAAATGAGCCCAAGATATCAGTTTAGCAGTGGTTAATAAAGATCCTCATGGTAGTTATAGCATGTCTCTGGATTAGGAGCTGGTAGCTTAGTGTGACTTTAGAGGCTGGCACCATGCCCACTGTGGACCAGTTTGCTCATACCATATTCCATTCACATGTTAGGCCTCTGGTACAGGCCAGGTGGCTTGCAAATAAGTGCCATGGGGTTTTATTTTCAAGGGCAGTTACTGAAACTTAGACATCTAAAGTGGCTTGGGCTAGGTCACATAAGCAAATTAATGAAACGTGGAACAGCTCGTGTCTGAGATAAGAGAAATAAAATACCAGATCCCTGCACTGCTCTGGTATTTACCCTATTCCAAGATAAAATTACAGTCCTGCAATCTTCCTCCTTGATACCATCACCTTCTACATAAGCTGTGAAATCATGATCTTCATGCTTTCTTCAGCTCCTTAATTCATTTGGGAAAAGCCATTATTGCCAGCAGTGATAATAGTAATAGTAGTAGTAGCAGTAGTAGTAGTAGTTGTTGTTATCGTTGTTGTTGTTACAGTTGTAGTAGTTGTAGTAGCAGTAGAAGGAGCAGTAAAGGTAAAAGTACTTCTGCAGTAATGTTAATAACAATATTATCTACCATTTATTGAGTGCTTAATACATGATATGTGCTATTCAAACTCTTTACATGTGATATCACTTTTAGTCCTCTTCACAAACCTATCAGGTAAGTAATATTATTATCTCCATTTTACAGATGAGAAAACTGAAAGTCTGAGAGGTTAAGTCACTCAGCTAGTCAGGGGTCTAAGCCCTTGCTTGCCTAATTCTGAAGCTGAGGCACTGAAGCACAACAGAATGCTGCCTTCTCAGCATTATCCTGTTATCTGACACATCCTTCCCCTGGCCCACAATAAAGTTACAAGAAAAATTTGAAGAACCACCGTAGTTCAAACCTTGAAGTGATTTGGTTCTACTTATAGCATTCAATAATAATGGTTGCAAAGCAACACAATCCTAGAGACTGAACATCTGTTTTAAGGCCTTGAGTGAGCATGTTTTTCTGGAATATGCCCTTAGAAATGTCTTTTGAACATTTGTTCAAACAAGCTGAGGTCTGGACACCCTCTGACGCCTTTCTCGATTGGTTATGTGCCAAGTATGACATGATCCTTCTGCATGTGGTTTGAGTTAGGTAGAAGTATTATACATGCTTGGGACACTGGGCAAGCCCTCCAAAGCTACCCCTAGGTCCAGACAAGTGGGCCTACTTTGGAAATGGCAGCCCTGGGGTGACTAGACTGGGACCCCTGATAGGCTGGGTCACCCCAGAACCCGCATTGAGAAGTCAGCCTTTGCCTGACAGCTAGGACATTTGTGTTCTCTTAACCTTTCCTTTGCCTTATGCCTGCATATTTTCTGGTCTTTGGGACAGGTTCCAGAAACACCCAATGGACTTCTCATGCTTTGTGGCTTAAGAGTTTAAGGAGCTCTGAGCCTAAACAACTAGCCTAAGGCTGCCACGGCCTTACTTTCCTGCTACAAGCCACTTGTGCTCTACCTGCTGTACCATGAAATCATTAGGAAACTGATTAATGTCATTGGCAGGTGCCTCAGTGCACATAACTGGAAGGGACTACAATTCCAGACAGTTTTACAGCTTTGGCAGGACATAAGTATACTCTGTGGATAGATTGAATGTCACCTCTTGGCCTGCGTTTGTGGGAGATGGCTGCAGAGTCCATCAGCAAAGCTGCCACGTGGCCAAGTACATATGAGTGATGGAAACATGACTGTGGTAAGAGGCCAAGGTTGGTAATGAGGGAGGAGACATTAAACCTAGGGGGAATCCCTGAATTCCCAACATCTGTGAGATGGATCAGATGAGGCTAGAGGGCAAAAAGCAATAGAAAAGTGTTCAGCTAATACAGGTGTATAAGGAAAGAAGCAAAGATCAAATCTTATGTTGTGGCCAAGGGGAAAGCTACAGGTGTCAGATCTGCTTTAACATCCAAAGTAGGAGATAAATATACAGTGGGAGTGCTTCTTTAGATACAAATCTAATTATGGGAATATCTTTTCTTAGTCTGCTATGAACTTCTGAAATTTCCTCCAAATATTCTAGGAAGTCCTGCAAACTGATGCTATTCCTTCTTTACCTCTCTTAATGCAAAATGCAGTTGTACCACTAAAAACTGAGGCTATCACCTCCCTGTAAACTTGGTCTAACACTACTGATAGGAAAATAAACTAAGCTAAAGGTTGTTATAAATTTTTATTGATTGAAGTTGATAAGGTTTGGAGGAAATGGACCAGATAAGAGGTTATTACAATATTTGCAATGAGAAGTTATGAAGGCCTAAATGAGGGTGGTGGTAGTGAGTGTGCAAGGGAGTTGCTGGTTTTGAGAGAGACTATGAAGGAATATCCACACGACTTGGCAACTGGCTCAATTTAGCAGGGTAATGGAAGAATCAGAGATATTGCCAAGGTTATTAGTCTTAGTGATTGGGAAAATAAAAATGACGGTGCCAGTAATAGGAACAGTGAATTCAGGAGAAGAAAAAGGTCTTAGAGGGAAGATAAATGAGTTTGAGGTGCCATATTGAGAGACAGAACAGGCAATTTGAAATTCTAGTCTGGTATGCAGGAGAGGTTTGGTCTGGAGATAAAAATTCAAGCAGGCATCACTTGCCTGCTCCTTCACCTAAGTCCGAAACTTCTGGCTCCCAATCCCTACAAGCAGAGACCATACACAAAGGATATTTGAAACTTACTTCCTTCTCTCTGCTTCTGCTGCTATTCTTCCCTACTCCCCAGGTTCTTCTGCCTTCTAATAATCTCCAGAACCTTACAGTAGAGAAACCTAGTTGGCCTCTTTGTGTATTCCAAGCATTCACTGTAAATGTCTAGTTTTAAGAATGGTTCTTTATATTCCCAAACACATGTCATTTGTGAGTAATAAGTGATCCAAGCAGATTACATTTATAGAAAGTTTCAAATGCTTTGAAAATTATTTATACCAATTAAAAAATAAATACACATGCGAGAAACCTAGAAAGGAAAGATCAGATGAGTGCAGTAGAGTTATAGTGACCATATTTTCTGAAGCAAAAATGAGGCATTGGTTTCTGACGAAAAAAATTGATTTACTGAAGTCCTTTCTGATTGAATGCGGCAAATGGTAGATGCAATTGGAATAGTGAAATATTGCAATTACCAGGATTGGTAATTATTGCAATTTGGACTGTTTCTAGGACAAGATATTTATCCTGGGAAATCTGGGAGGTACATAGAGTGGAATACTAATAATGCAATGCATACTTCATGTGTTAGTACTCTAAAATTGTTTTCGTTTATTATTTTATATTCCATAACTTTCAGTTTAGGATGCCTGATAGTCTTGGTATTTGCTCCCTATCTAAAGAACTTTGAAGACCCAAAAGTATTGAAGGTCAGAGTGAAAAGGTACTTTGGAGATCAATTAATCCCACTACTTTTTTAATATTAAAAAATTGAGGGTCAGAACTAAGCAATTTCTTGCCTACATCAAGTAGTCAATGGCAGAACTGGGACTAGAATCCAAATATCCTAACCTTCCAAACATCATTTTTCTAAACACCAAGCCTCCATTTTGGCAACAGCTTTTCCACTCTTTCTTCTCATCTCATCCCTACCCTTTCCTTTGGGAGTCCCTGGACGAATGGGGCCCACTGCTAAGAGGGTACAGTGCAAACTGCAGAAACCCCAATGCCTATCATGTCAAATTCCTTTGATCTATAGCAGCAGCACACCCTCCCCTCACCCAGACATCTCTCCCTCTTCTCAGTTGAAATACCCACACCTCTGTTATAGCAGATGT